AATTGGGTGTGAGACAGTGGGGAGGTGCAGAGAGTAGGGGGGATCTAAATACCATCAAACTAATATATGAAAACCACAAAAATTCAATAAAATAAATGTGAAAAATATGTATGTAGGGGCTGGAGAGATGTATCAGAGTTTAAGAATTTGCAGAGATCCTGCGTTTGTTTGCTCCAACAATATCAGGCAGTTCACAAAACTTCTTGTAACTCCAGTTCTAGGGAACTCATGCCGTCTTCTGATCTCTACAGGCACTGAACACACATACGCATACCCAGACACAAATATACATACATTACACATTAGTTAAAATAATAAAAATAATAAAATAAGTTATATTGGAGCTGGAGACATGGCAAATTGGTTAAGTGTTTGGGCTGTTCTTGGAAAGACCCAGTTTTGTTCCCAGCACCCACATGTTGACTAACAACTATAAGTTACTCCAGTTCCAGGGAATCTGTTGCTGTCTTCTGGCTTCCACAGGTATTGCATGCACAGATACGCTTACATACATGTGGGAAAAACAGTCATACAGAGAAAATAAAAAGAAATAAAGAATTTTAAAGTTCATGTTAGAGTCTATACATATTTCTACATATTTCTTGTATTTTTGTATCAGTTTCTTCATAGATTTAAGTGCAAGTGAAGAACATGTTTATAACGTGGTATTAACATAAATTAAAGGCATATTGAATCTCTTTTTTACATAAAAGCTTAATCACAAGGATCTATGAAGATTAGGTAACATTAACATACAAGGTAATATCCACAGGCTATGGTAGAACATGCTATTAATTCCAGCACTCTGGAGGCAGGGGCAGAGGCAGAGACAGGCAGCATGGTCTACATAGTCAGTTCCAGGCAAGCCGAGGTAGTCCTTGTTCGAAACAAACAAACAACAAACAAATGACAATATCCACATGTTGAACTGTCAAAGAAATATGAAATTACAAATCTCAGGAAAAGCTTTTTTATGTCCATGTTGTCTGTTTTCCCACCAGGTCTACTGCATCACTCAAAGGAAATGAGATACCTTAGATATTCTCAGCTTCTCTATTTTTTGTGTTCCTGAAGTTTTAGGAACTTCTTTTCATAGTTCTCACATTTTATCTTTCATGATTAAACATCAGGACAGTGTTTTCCAACCACACTGTGTGTCTCAGATGTATGCAACTGGGCCCTGGCCAGTCATATATGACTGGTCTACTGGGACTTTTAGACTGGTTATTTTAAAAGATTGCTGTCCTTGAAGGACTCTGGTGGGTTCAAGACTAAGGAGTTTCATGTGCTAGTACTACATGGCATTGTCAGTAGTGAGAACAACAGGATAAAAGGCAGTGTCTGCTCCATTATGTCAGTGAGAGCAAAGAGTCACCTCATACCTGGACAGCAGCTGAGGCAGGCACAGACAGGGGGATTGGTACCCACTGTAGACAAGAGCCTCCCTGGGCTGCTGGTAGACTTTATGCTTCATGTGCAAAAGGATGACACTGAATGTTTTTTGATGAGTTTATTTAACTTCTTAATGATGGAAATTTAGCTATGAAGAATGAAATTTCAATAAATATTTACATACAAGAATTTTTGTGGATTTATGTAGTAATTTCTGTTGAACGTATGTATAATGAATTTTTTCTCTAAGGATGAGATGGTACTCCTTGGAAACTCCTAATCATACAAAACTATAAAAGCAACTGCTCTAATTAATGACTGCAAAAGACATAGGATGGTATGTTAATATATGAAATTAGGTTGCTTCTTATATAAGAACAATGAACAAC